CACCTTGATAGTAAAATTCTTCCAAGTTAGGTTCGATTGAAATAATGAGTAAAACCAAATTTTATATAAAGTCAAGTTACTTTTTAAACAGACATCGTCAATGCATATATGTGATGAGAATATCGCTCATGTATGTGTATATGGCCTAAATTTATAATTCATATATTTACATCACAGGCTATTGGATACTCTAGTCGTCTACTTAGCCCACTAAACTACCAGTATTTCATTTTAACAAAATACATCTTATTTTCTTCATTCTACGTTGTTGTAATTATCCAACTGCTTTCATTGAGATTAGCAATATTTACTAACATGTATTTTCAAATAGCTTTCAACCTAATACTATGGATTTTTTAAAAGAAAATTCGAGAAATCCGTTGCAGATTATTACAACCTGGTTTGGATAGAACAATAATGTTTCAAATGATATTTTATATACTGAAAGCTTCTGCACAGAAGGTAGGCAATTCGCGACATAGATAACATGCAGAAACTTATCTACAATATATATTTTTAACTGATCAAAAATGCCTATTGAAATTTTTCAAAAAAATGGATACTGAACAAAGAGAACTCTTTTCGAAAACTTCATCATCAGGCTCCACAGTTATATATACATCATTGTGAATGAATGAATCGGATCAATAATATTGATAGATTACAGCTAAATAGCATCAACATAACAATTAAGTGAATATCAGAAAAATTAGGAAAGATAATATTACAAATTCATGAATTTATAGTCTCTGCTGAAGGCCGGCCAGGGTAGTAGTAGGGGCTGGTTTTGGTTCTTTTGAACACAGAGCACTGGTTGTTTGAGGCGAATTGCAATAGCCTCTGCTGTTTGGAGCATTCGGTGCTTCGATGATTTTGGGAATTTATTAGGTACTCGGTAGATTATAGAGAAGGATTCTTCCACACTGGCTGGCTTTATGGCCAGTTTGCACCAAATGTTCCAATATCGAACTGTTAATGGTTTTAACTACACCTTTACTTAGCCATACCGGAAGATGTTCTCGAACACGAAAAACCAAGTTCCTAGAGCAAAGGCCAGTATAACTCGCTCCACCACAAGCGCAGTTGAATTGGTAGATACAATTTGAAGTGGTCAGGTAGTCTAGGTACTTCATCTTTTAGTCTCGGTAGCACCATCGGTCGTGTAGAGAATAAGACGTGTAGTTCGCCAGCATTAAAAATTCTTTGGACTAATTTTCCTAATTTCCTCGTAATTATCTCACATGGTATATCTCTCTTGAATTGTAGTCTTATATAAAGTGGCTTCTTGTGTACAGATAGTGATTAGTCCTTTTCCGCCGCTTTCTTTGTCATGTGTTTCTCGATAAATTTTTTTATTCCTTTACGTCCCCAGTGGAACATAGGGCTTTAAACCAGAGCTTTGAAGTTTCTGTAGCAGCGGTGTTTATTTTTACGAGATGGTGTTGCTGGCCTCATACTCAACCTTCCCTATTTATTAGTCTTGTTACTGGCTTAGCGAGATAAAGGAGTGCGCTGGCCAGGGTTCGAATCCCGGACCGCATGAGTGGTTGGCCAGCATTCTACCGCTGTGCCACCAACGCACCATGTATGAACTCATTTCTAAAAATAAAGCTATTATTATTATTATTATTACCATAGGAATCTTTAAACAACTGAGAGATTTGTCATATCTAATAATTCTCACATACTTATTATTTATTCTAAACATACAAAGAAAGCCAAAAGAAGTATTTATTCAGAAGAATATTGATCGATTTAATATGTATACATTATTTCATATAATGAACTCGATTGCGATCTTACTTTGATAAACATATAATTAAATAAATAAAAAAAAGTCAATAAATAAATAATAAAAAAAAATAATTTTGTTTTTCTTTTATTCACTTATACAAATCTCTTTTGAAGTGAAGCTGTATGTTTGAATGCAAGTTGAGTAATCAAATTTTGAGGTAGCGGGAAAATTGTTTCCATTGGAAATGTATATATATATATATATATATATATATATATATATACATGTGTGTTTATGTCACAAGTCAGTGGAGTCAAACATCCAATGAAATAAGTCACATATATCCATAGAAAAATAATGATAATAAGGCTTGTAACAGATGAATGGCAAGTTACCCAAGTGGGTTAATTTAATTCAATATCTTATTTTGTTATGTTCGAATATAATCTACTAAATTAATCATGAAGCAGATAAATAGGCAAGCTAAATTAACTCTGTTGAATACATTGTTATGGTTGCTCAACAAAGGCAAGTGATTTCAGTTTTCTTCAGTACAAAATATCCTATATATATATATATATATATTACTAGTGTAAATTTAATAGAAAACTGAACTTTCAACGGATATATATACAATGTTTTATAACATCCGTAGTAATAGTTAACATTTGTTTATATTACTTCTTCTTCTTCTTCTTCTTCTTATTATATCCTTTAATTTCTAGAGGAACATAGGGCTTCAGCTGCGCACCTCCATTGCCTTCGGTTTTCTGCCAACGTTTTCACTCCGCTCCAAGTCTGCCCACATGCTTTCATCTCCTCCTCACATGACCTCCTCCAAGTCACCCTTGCACTGACGACCAACTCTCCGCTTCCCTTTCGGGTTCCACTCGAGTGATGGCTTGTCTAGTGATGTCACTTGATAGTTTCCTCAGAGTATGGCCAATCCAAGCCAACTCCATTTCTTCCTGCCTATTTGTTTCACAATCGGTTCCTGGTTGGTTCGCTCATTGCCAGAGATCTTTGTTGCTGATCTTTTCTGGCCGGCCATCTGATCTTGAGTATTTAGCCAAGGCAACTGTTAATGAAGGTCTGAAATTTGTTGGAGATGCTCTTTATGACTCGCCAAGTCTCTGATCCGTATAGTGAGTAGCACTGACTGACATCACATTGGAGTTGAAAATCCGGATCTTATTTTTCATGCTGAGGAGTGCTGTTGACCTCCATACAGACTTGAGAGTAATGAAAGCCTGTCTTGCTTTTCCGATTCTTGCTTTGATATCTTCGTCATTTCCTTCCACCTTTAGTTGAAACGATGCTTCCCAGGTAGGAAGGTGAAGGAGGTTGCTTCTTTCAGATTCCTCCCATTTATGCTGACTGTCGTCTTAAATGAGTATTATTCATAAGGTTAAAACGGGAAACTGTAATTCTAAAGCCAGAGGTGTGAATTGTAGCTACTTACAGCTTCTAACTAGCTTTGCTATCGAAATGTAACCTAATCTGTTTATCATTCTGGTATAACAAAACTGCATGAGTTCCTCTAAGTAGCTTAATTACTCAGTTTTTTCCGTTGGTGAAGTTGATATAGTTCAAGACACGTTTATTGAAGAGTCATTAGCCGTTGCACCTGTCTAATAGGCAACTTATCTCGCAGCTGAATTTTAACGGCTAGATAATTATCTTTAGTTTAAACAAGTTGTTTTTTTACCAAAAGACTATGCAGAAGTAATTAGAATTGTCACTTAAAATGTCTACTTTACTTTTTTAATATTGAAAATATTGTAAGCATATATATATATATTCCATGATGAGATATTAATTATACATAATATCACTAAATGATTAGTAAGAAATCCAATGGAATTACCTAAAAACATTAGTGTTAAAGTAGACAATGAACTGGAAACTAAGATCCTGTAAGTAACTGTTAAACATCTATTCTTCTCAAGTTAAAGAGACAAATTTTGCGTCAGTGGTTCAGCGATCATTTTCAGCAGCCAGGGCTCTCACAGGTTGTTTTAAAACCCAGTAATTACAAATATACAAAATCTGGGTTAAGAATCAGTGTGACCTGGCAAAAAATGTTCCTATGAAATATGAGAATCATAAGATTACCTTCCCTGACGCTAACTCATCTCAAACAAATTGTATAACAATGGATATTAGAACAGGACATATAAGCGAACAATATTGTTGTTTTCAATTAGATCTTCTTCAGGCTTTACTCGAATTTACATAGATTTACTTTTAAAATTTTTTAACCACTAAGACTCTCCAGCGGTATGTACGCACAATCCACTGTGGATCAAAGATAGGACATTTAGGTTACCTGTTGACCATTCGGTCACTTAGATGGAATCCAATAACCCATGAATTCTAACTTCTAACGATTCGCGATATATAATACAACCGCCAACTAGCCAGTATTTGTCCTCATTTATGACAAATTCAGAAAGGTTTTTCAGTTACAAACTGCTCCGTAAACTTATATTGATTAAACACTAGTAACTAGTGTGATGTGTCTAGTCCTTTCTTTGGTGAAGAGCGAATTCTATTATTAAGGTTTGAAATATGGCCACCATTCTAGGTAGCTCGCCATCACGGTGCACATTGGTTTGATCATATTAGATAGTTGGAGGCAGTCGACCACAGGAAGCCTTGCCTGACCTAGGTTTCGTGCTAGTTGGCACTCACCAGTCAGAAAGGCGTATCTGCAACCTTGAAGGAAATCATGTTCTTTCTGAGATTCGAACCCACGTCACTCATCGCTGCAGTCAGGGACGTTACCGCTGAGCTATTCTGGCTCGCGTCTGACCTCTTGTAGGACTGTGATACCAAACAACTGGAATGGTGGCTACATTGCCAACCTGACTGATAGAATTCAGTCTGCACCAGAGATAGGACTAGACACATCACACTAGTTACTGACTAGTGTCCAATCACAGTATCCAATACAGTCGCACAGGAAGGAGGCCAGCTGCGAGCCCGAATAGCTCAGTGGTAACGTCTCTGACTGCAGAGTTGGGTGACGCGGGTTCGAATCTCAGAAGAAGGGACATGAGTTCCTTCAAGTTTGCAGATACACCTTGCTGACTGGTGAGTGCCAACTAACATGAAACCTAGGTCAGGTGAGGCTTCCTGTGGCTGGTCGCCTCCAGCCATCTAATATCGGAAAATCATTATGTCTAATTTATTGAAAATCATAGATTCACTACATTTACTAGGAAATAAAAATCAACGAAAAAAAATCCCTGACATTACTTACCTATTACGCATTAAATCTTCTTCAGGTTGACTGTATTCAGATGGTGATAAATCATCAACCCTATATGTTTAAATAAAACAACCAATTTGTGTTTAAATCAACTTTATCAATGTTGTATATTTATTATAACTGTCATTTGTAAATAACTACTCCTAGGTATTATATTCTGCTTAATATTTACCAATAGAATATAAGCTCGCAGTGATCACTGATGCTTCCACCAAATCCTAAACACAGATCCTAAATCAATAACTCAAGTATGATCACTGATTTGACAACCGTTAGAGAACCATTGAAAACCAAGGAGTACTGGACAGCCGTTTCGTTCTAGTTGGCGATCCATTGGCAGTATGCATCGACTAGGGTTCAAACCTAGGACCTCTCGGTTACAACCAAACTTGAAACAAATTGTCTCCTGGAAATCAATCTGATGGTCTCTTGTGACTGGCTACGGGAGGAAGCGGATTGGAGTACTAGTGAGAAGTCGTGACCGGCGTGGTCCACCAGGTCAGGCGTGAAGACAAATACTCGCCGCTAAAACTGGTTGTTGGTCCCGCATGACTTGTAACAGGAATGTCCTGGGTTTGAAACCCAATGGAAGCGTACTACAGATAAGCCTCAGACCAGGACGAAACAGCTGTCCAGTAATCTCTGATTTTCAATGGTTCTTTAACTGATATACATTGGTGATGAAACTTGAAACGGCAAGAGTAAGCGATAGACACCAAAGTCAAGTGACCTTGATTTGACCAATCAGATAGTTGGGCATTACACATGGTTGCTAGTTGAAATTGTCTCCTAGCTTTGGTTTTTGACCTCTCTGTGGAAAGTGTGTTGATAGGGAGGAATAACACATGTATATGTGGAGAGATAATAACTGTGCAAAGGTATTGCCGGGTTATTGGTGGTTATACATTCAGATGCAACTACTGTGTAAGTTGGTAAGTTGTACATAATTGATTTTTTTAGACACTTTGTTCTCGAAATAAAAGCTCTCCCTTAGTAATACATTGCGCATATGCAACCAGTATCCGCTACAGCTGGAGAAATACAGAATACATTGGTTTGATATGTATATAGCCACTTCTATGAGAATCTGGGACCAGTTATTGCAGCATATTAGAGATATATACCCTATTTGACTCATTTTTATTATATATATATATATATATATATTCGTCCGAGGTTGGTGTCTTTGCCCTTGAGACAAATCAAATCCCTATAACCTTATTCTTAGGATGAAGTATGCAAAATAGAAACGACAGAGTTCTCAGTCACTACAAATCTGAGAGTATTAAAGACAGTGTTTGTGGAATTACTTATCGTGTCACAGTTTAGGAACTCTATACATCTCTGTAAGAGAACATATACAATTAAGGTCAAATTAAAACGACTAAAAGTCGCAATCACATTTCAGAAGGTTCCATTGTAGATATTACCGCAATTATCACGATTACCGCAACTACAGTTAACATACTTCACTAAATAAAATTTAGAACTCACCAGTCAACATGATGTCCATTTGGTGGTCCTGAACGATGTGTATATTCACAAATTTGTTGCCTTTGACTTTGATCCGAATATTCAGCTTCCGATGTGAATTGATTATCTTCTGAGTATTGCTGGCGCCAGTATACATCATCCTTGTCACTGATTTGATTTACATCATAACAAATCTGTTCATCATTCCATTCATAATCACCAGTATACTGACGATGTGTAGAAGGCCGACCTCTCTCAGGTGGAATATACGGTCGACTATTATAATACAATGGCTCTGAACCAGAATCAAATTCACTATCATTAAACGATGGTAGCTGTTCTTGTTGTAAGCCGTATTGTCTAGTAGAAGGGTAATCAGGGTACTTCTTTAAAGTTTCAGATGACTGAGCATCTGAATCATCAGTCGTAAATTGTTTCTGCCTCATGAATGGATCTGTAAAACATATAAGATAAGGAGAGGCAGTTTAAAAGACATTACTATATAGAATAGTAAAAAATATACTTGCCCTATTCAGGTAGGTAGTCACCTGGGGTTCTAGTGAGAAGTCGTGACCAGTAGGGTGCAACAGGTCGGGTGTGAGGACAAATACTCACCGAAGACATTGGCTAGGAATCGCGCTATGTCGTGAATTGGTAGAAGTTGGAATTCACGGGCTGGCCATTGAATCGGGTCCCAGTGGCTAAATGTTCTACGTGCTCGCTAGCCTTGTAACCAGAAGGTCCTGGGTTCAAATCCCCGCTGAAGAGTCCCAAACTAGGACGAAAAGGCTGTCCAGTACTCCCAGGTTTTCCAATCGTTCTCTAACTAATGTCAGCTCATAATGAAATCCTGAAACCAATCAAATCGCTACAAACCAACACTCGAATAAAATAGTATTATTTACAATATGACATAGACTTTGAACAACCAAACTTTTGACAGATGATTTCGAATCAACAGAGTATATTCACAGGGATTGAATAATTCCTATGATTTCCTTCTAAACAAACAGTATATATCAAAAATCACCAGTCCTGTTTAAGTAATCAAAACATGCCAAAGACATCCGCATTGTATAGTGATACAATCACTGAGCATGAAAAGGTTGAAAAACTTTGGCAAAATCTATGTCTTTAATGTTATTTAAGAGAGAGGAACTTTTAGAAATAAATATAAATTTAAATAATAATAATAATCGGAAACAAACCAATTTTGCACACTATGTGTCAACACCAATAAGCGCTTCAGCAGCACATCTCCATTCGACTCAGTCATCTTTCATCACTGTCGAACCGGCTACACACTTATCCATAAGCTTTCCTCTATTTCACCTTCAAACATCCAACCCGTCGCTTCTCATTACCGTTTGGTTCGACTTCCAGACTGACGTATGATATCACTTGAAAGTTTTTTACAGTGTATATCCAGTCCATCTTTAATTAATCTGGCAAATTTGTCGGGTAATTGGTTTTTGGCTAGTTCTCTGCCTTCCAGAGTTTTTCTGTGTGTATCCTTTTTGTTCAGTGAAGGTAAATGTTGATGAAAGTCTTCACCTGGCTATTGGAGATACTTTCGGCAACATACAGACACACATACCAATAAGGTCTCTGAAGCATATAGAAGCACTGAGTTGAAAATATGGATCTTGTTCCTTGTACTGGATGCTGTGAATATTCATACTGGTTTCAGAACAACAAAATTCTGTCTTCTTACTCTGATCCCAACTAGTTTTGACATCTTCATTCGTGTTACCGCCTTTAGTTGAAACGAAGCTGTCCGGATAAGTAGGCGGAAGAGACTACTTCATTGTTCGTCCGATATCTTCATCACCTTTGTCTTCTCTATATTCATTGACTATTGAATTCGTGTGTTTTTTACCTCTCCCGTCAAATGGTTAGTTTTCACTTTTAAACAATAGTGAAGTACCAATCAAACAACTTGAGTCTGAACACTCCTCAAAAGATTAACTGACTGTTGATGTCCTTTTATAAATATGTTAGTCATCTAATTTAACACTATAATCACGTCAGCATCAGTACTCATTAGATAGATGAATGTATCCACAAACTAAACAAAAACAATATACCACTGATAAATTGGTTACCTGTTATGAGTTTACACATTTTAGGAAGACATTTGCCTTCTGAAGAGAAATGCTTCCAGGTATTTGAGGTATGTGGCAGTCTTTTTATTCCCCGAAATCCCCGAAGGACATAGGGCTTCAAACCATCATATTACGATAATAGCCGTGGTTCTGTTTTCTTTTACAGAGTAATGATTGCTAACCTCACCGCCAACCTTCCCTCATTCCCGAGCTTATAATTATAATTTTTCCTTCACGTCCCCAGTGGAACATAGGGCTCCAAGCTAGTGGATTGAAGTTTCTGTAGCAGTGTTTATTTTCACAGGATGGGGTTGCTAGCATCACGTCTAACCTTCCCTCTTTATTAGTCTTATTACTGGCTTAGCGAGGTAAGGGAGTGCGTCGTTGGCCGGGGATCGAACCCCGGACCATGTGCACGGTCGGCCAGCGTCCAAACCGCTGTGCCACCGATGCACCATCCCCGAGCTTACTACCGGCTATTTGAGGTTTAGAAGTATGTTGGCTGGGAATCGAACACACACACACACACCATGTATGTGGCTGGTAGAAATCCCCTACCATTTAACCACAGATGCATTGCAATATTCTACTGTATATTCAGTATTATATTGTAAAACGATACACCATTACACAAACAGTAATTAGAAAAGTTTCATACACAAGTTTGTGTCTTGTCGATTACTAATGTAAGTAGGAAGTAGGCGGCTAACTCTAGTTTAGCTAATTAAATCATAAACTGTCAGATTCTTTCAACAACAACAAAAAAGAAACACAACTAAAACAGTTTAGAAAAAACTCTAAACAGGAAACCAACCTGCTGTATAATTTGGATGATTTGATGGGAATTTGTTATGATAAGGGATTAGGTAATTAGTTGATCGAGAATATCGTGAAGATTGTTGCATATAATCGTTATATGGTACATTAGCTTGTTGTCTACTTTCACAATCACTTAGTGGATAATAGTAATGTGTAGAAAATTTATCCCTTGTTGGATTTATACACCGTTTTGTGTTGAATTCATCGAAATGATTAGGAAGGAGATTTGCTTGTTTCATTCGAACATTTGAATCTTGTATGCTACCATTTGGTATTAGATTGGGTAGCTTCCGTTTACCATAAAATTTCTCAAATTGTGGATCTATAATAGTTGAAATTAAAAAAAAGAAGTTTAAAGTTTTCTTTGGAAGAAAAATGTATACATCAGGGGGAGACGAAATACTGCTTAAGCGAAATAAGTAATTAGAGTTTCTTTGTGTTTTTTTTTCAGTTATGTGTCCATTAAATGAGTACATGATAGAAATTATGTTATCATGTCTAGACATGCTGTTAGTTTGGAAAGGAAAATCTAGTATCCATTAACACCTGGAAGCGTTTTACCAATTTTGAGAAAACAAACAACCAAATGAATTTTTAAATCATTAAAATTACTAAAAAGAGAAGAAATATCTCCATGTAATAGTGATATCATTTAATGCATATTGGTTGCTGATGAAACATTTCCTCTAATAGGCTGACGTTGTCTACAAGTATTAACATGAGACTTACCTACTGATGAGGAGTGAAACTATCTTTCAGATGTAAAGTATATGAACTTGTTTGGCTAGTTGTATAGAGCATACTGTGAAGTCACTCAAATTTAGACGATTAATAGTTCATTCGGACTTGGTGACATCTGTTTAAATAGCCTAGTCACAGGTCTTACAAGGTCATTTTTTTGTTGACAGATTATGAGCGTCTGATTGAGGTTCATCACACGATTTTATGCGGAAGTGCAACAGTTCAACTTGTCACACTCCATGTAGTAGACCCACATTGCCATGCCATGCCTAGAAGATGGTAGTCTCCAGAAGTCAATTTGCCGAAATCTGCAAAAACTGTTGTTCTTGCTTTATTCAAAAGAGGGAGGGGTAAAGATATTCTATCAGACTATAGTGAATAGAAATGGGGAGGGAAAAGAGTAATAACGTGGAAAAAACATGACGGTTTAGTGAAAATAGTAGATCAAATAGAGTGAATGCACCTGCACCACTCAGAACAATTTTGAGCCATATCTATAATAGCCTCAAGCCGTTGGTTCTTATGATTCTGAGGACCACAGTTGGGCAGCCTACACCTCCCTATGTGGCTGGCTCAAACTACCTGTCAAAGACTTCATGTGCCAATTCCATTTTTTGGTTTGATCACCATAGCTTTCTCTTCCAACCAGCTAACACTACTCATCGAGGAAGGCGATGGCTCGGCATGCACCACATGTATCACAGCTATCTCTATCGTTTAACCTTCAACAGCTCTGTTGACTGAATTACCTTTCTCACCTAACTTTTCATGCTCAACTCCAACACTACTCACGCTATTATATCACTTAAACAAGAGAGATAGACCACAAACATTTATGGTCAAAGAGAGTCTGTCTTTTAATATCTTCCACATTCAATAGCTATGTTTCACAGTTATAAAGTGGGACAGAACGGACTGCTATGCAGTAAACATGTCCCTTAATCGATAGCTAGATATCAAGTCTATACAAGAGATAACGTAGGTTGGAAAATGAGAGATGAACCCTTTATTTCCGCTCCAAGATTGTGTTAGAAATCCTTCCATCAGAGCTGATGCAACTTTTCAAGCAAGTCTGACGAACTACGAGTGGAATGAATACAATATAAAATGAAGTGATTTCACTATCAAAGAAAAATAACGAATGAAAGCAAAGCATGAATATTTCTGAAAAAAGTAAACACTTCTGTGGAACTCTTAAGTTGTTGTAATAGACGCAACTGCTGGACATTATATTCTGAATTTTGTATTACAAGCAAAATACTAATCAACATGATCTAATAATCGATTCAGTGAACTGATCAGTTGACTGTCAAACAGTGGTTCCTGACTGCAAACTCATATCACACCTTCTACGAAGTGACGGTAAAGTATAATTCACAACCTAGTAGATAAATGTCGTATTTTTTGTGGACACACTTAGTTTTTACTTTTGTCAGAATGATACAGACCTTTTTGTGTGCGTATTTCGATATTAAATAATAAAAAAGCTGATTCGTTAGGAAAAGCAGACAGTGGAGCAAAATAATAATTCAGAAGTATTCTGAAGGACGTAACTGTATCCATTTCTTTTGAATGCTAGGCAATAATTCGTTACTCTGAATTCTAAATATTGTGACTTTTCCATTATTGGTCTTGTAGGGATTTTGTTTGATTGGATGGAGGATTTCATCATCAGCTGACATCAGTTAGGGAACCACTAGACGGCTGTTTCGTCCTAGTTTGGGACTCTTCAGCAGTACGCACCCACACCGAGGGGTTCGAACCCAGTACCTCTGGTTACAAGGGAGCTCGTAGACGATTGAGCCACTGGTACCCGATCCAATGGCCAGCTAGTGAATTCTAACTTCTGCCAATTCACGACATAGCGCAACCACTTCGCAATGTCTTCTTTGATTAGTTACTGCTTCATCTTCAACCTGCTATACCAACACATGAAAATTAATCTGATGCTTACAAGTGACTGGCCCTATTCAGGCAGTTAACCTGGGGTTTTAGTGGAAAGCCGTGACCAGTAGGGTACAGCAGGTTGAAGATGAGGCGATAACTAAACGAAGAAGACATTGCGAAATGGTTGTGCCATGTCGTGAATTGGGAGAAGTTAGAATTCACTAGCTAGCCATTGGATCGGGTACCAGTGGCTCAATCGTCTACGAGCTCCCCTTGTAACCAGAGGTACTGGGTTCGAACCTCTCGGTGTGGGTGCGTACTGCTGAAGAGTCCCAAACTAGGACGAAACAGCTTTCCAGTACTCCTTGCAGGTTTTCCAATGGTTCTCTAACTGATGTCAGCTCATGATGAAATCCTCCATGCGATTTCGAATTTTATCAAAAGCTCCCCTCTCTCCACACTAACGATCACATGGTCAGAAATGATTAGCAACGAGGAACTATGGATACAAGCTGTTTAGGATCGATTCCCAAAAGAATATGCAGTAGAAAATGGGTATGGATTGGAAACACGCTGGCGAGACCATTGAGTGACATCACCTACTAAGCCCTCTAATGAAATCTGAGGTGAAAACAGAGAGTTGCGACTGTGTCCCAGAGGGAATCAGAGGAGATGGCTAGAAGAGTGGCTAAAGACAACTCCAGAAAACAAGATGTAATGGAGACGTTTTTTTCTAAGCTCGACATTCCGCTTAGGATCTAAGGGAATAATAATAATAGTAATAATTCTTCCTTTTGCTAATGCTTGATGATATGATACAAAGTTGGCACTGTAGATATATGCCATTACACAAAAAAGTTGACAAAATTCCGTTTACGAGTTATGTGGTTCCAAGAATAATCACGGAATATACACATTGGGTCATAGAAGTTATCAAAAAGACAGTTGCAGCGGAGAAACTTTTTTTTCGACAAAGTCATCATCTAGGCTGTACATTCGTGTATTTATATCACATGGATGGAAAAGTTCCAGAATAACTTCAGGTTAAGGATCAAATCGATAAAAATTACAATTAGGCCACCTCAACGTGCATATACCAGTTTACTTGCTCTTGTGGAGCTGAGTACATCACCCGTACCATGCGCCGACTTGAAAAACGCGCTCGTGAACACTATCCAGCCTGGCTAATAAAAGGAGACCAAAAACTTGTATACACTTCAGTGACAGAACATCTGGTCAATTCAGGACGTTCAGCGCCTTTCGAAAAATCCTTCGAAGTAATACACAAAATTCAACCAAACCTATCAAAGGGAGTGAAATTAAGACATCTGGGCATAGCCAAGACGCTAGCTATCCAAAAGCTCAAACCAACGCTTCGTATCCAAAAGAAATACGTCCAACCCCTGTCCTTGCCATGGCCATCATAAACAGGTAATTTTTTAGTAATGACTATCCCATCGCTTTCTTATCTAAACTTCCTGTTTATTCATGTTACTTTAAGTTTTCCTTAATACCTGTTTACACTACCATATTTTCGTATCCGAAATTCCTGTTTACTTTTCATGTTACTATTTCCACCTATTTAACCCCTGATTGCATAAACAGTTATTCATCACATTAGTTTTTTATCCAAACATCCCGTCCATTTTGTTATTTCTACATTTCTAACCCTAATTGCACAATGTCAATCTTCTTAGTTATTATGATGCAACTTTTTTTGAGTTTTATCTGTCCCTCGCCCCTGTTTATTATGGCATTCTAATTCCTAAATGTAATTTTTATCAATTTGACCCTTAACCTGAAATTATTCTGAAACTTTCCCATCCATTTGATATATTTACACGAATGTACAGCCTAGATGATGACTTCGTAGAAAAGAAAATTTTCTTCGCTGCAATTGTCTTCTTAATAGTTCCAAGAATAATCAAATGTCTTTATTTCATACATTTATTCTCCCTAATGAATTTGAACAAAGCAAGAACTACAGTTTCTTCAGAATAAACTGGTACCATCTTTTATTTCGTTGCCTTCTCGTCATCTGCTTACAGGTCGAAGACATTATTAGATATATCTACAAAAACAATTTTAACATACTTGCACAAAGTTCATTTTAAACAAAAATCAGTCGATCAATATATACATACAGTGATAATATATATATATATATATATGTTATATTAAACACTTCCGAGCAGTAATAATCATACACAATGGAAACTTTTCAGCATTACGCATTCAGATGAAAGTGAGATGAAAATATCCAGTTACCAGGGCAAAAAAACTGAGAACCGCCTCTTTCTGGACGCATAAATCAGGTTTTAGGCGCTTGATGGAAATGGCTTCAGCAAACTTGAGGAGAATTGAACCTATTGATAATTTTGAACGACTTTTCGACATCCATCTCATAACACGTGTCAAGGAGATGCCTGGCGATGGCACTGTTTAAAGCATTTGTTCCCTTTAGACATAAGCTTTTTGGTACATATTCAGATATGCCCTTCTTCTTTCTGGCCTTCCAATGTAACTGCTCCCGCAGATAACTTCCTCAGCTGAATAACCTTGTGCTTAAATGAAGTGAAGCTGGAAATAAGAGATCTTGCATACACTTTCTCATGCAGAAACTATTCTTCACTGGTATACCGTCAAATAATAGAGGATTACTCAAGCAGAAATTTTTCGACAATTTACCGATGCAAACTATTTCGTTTAATAAAGTAAAGATGAATGGATGAATGAATTAATGATAAGAAGTGAGCAAAACTAGTATTCACTTTCTTTTTTTCTTCTCATAAGGTGGATAATACAATCTTTATCCACACATCTAGCGAAGTACATTCCACTATGGACTAATTGCGCGAAAAATCTACGTAGAATTTTATGCATGACTATATCAGTTCAAATTTCCATACTTTACAAAAAAAAATGCAATAAAACTACAACACAAAGTGAAAATGACCAGTAGAATGAATCGTTACCGTCGGGTATCTCAAATCGAACAGTTGCTAAACATGAGTGTTTTGTTGGTGTTTTCGTTCCGACAACTTGACCATTCTCAGTGATCACTTCAGCATCTAAATTCATCCACATACCAGGACCATCCTGGGTAAATTAAAAAGATGAACAGAACAGCACCTGAGTAGTAATCATTCAGATATTTAAAAGAATTTTTAAATAAATTATTCATATTATTCATGCTCTGTCTTTACAGTTCTAAGGACTAGAGGAATTCAGTAGAGCCAGGTGTATAGCGTATACACTTTTCTACTTGGAACATGACTCTGAATGTCAAGGTGGATCAGTTCCTTTCAAGAAAATAACCAGATGAGTTGTCAATAAATCCCCCAAAGAAAAATACATTTGAGGATTTATGACATGATATACCATTACATAAACTGTAATCCAATCTCATAAAAGGCTGCCTGCTTAAATCTTGGGCTACCAAAACTTCCATCTCTCTATTGTACATACTTTTTATCGTTCGGTTTCTTTTTATCGATTAGGATATGACCTCTACTGGTGTCATCTACTCTCGTGTGTATTTAAAAGGTTAACAAGCTCCTGACTGATTCACAAGTTTCTACGAGACTTGAAGAATGGCCTGCTTTTGGGGGTGGCAACGTGTTCCGATCCATGAGATAACTGTTCTTCAATTATTTCCTAGGGTGTCAAAATGTACTTCTGAACATCTTACGATTAGCTTTCAACTAGATATCGTGGATCTCTTGAAGAGGACAAAGCAGATATATCATCACAATGGAATGGTTTGTGGTTCAGCTCAGCGACCATTGTGTCACAGGATATTTTTTAAAATCTTTTTATTCCTTAACCTTCCCCGTAGAACATAGAGCTTCAAGTTAAAGGCTTGAAGTTTCTGTAGCAGTGTTTATTTTTTACAGGATGGGGTTGCTAGCCTCATGCCCAACCATTCCTCCTTAGCAGTTTTATTTCTGGCTTAGCGATGTAAAGAAGTGCGTCAACCGGCAATCGAACCCAAGACCATGTGCATGGTCGGCGAGCTTCCTAACCGCTGTGCAACCGTCGCCACAGGATATGCTGTCAATTAATATTTTACTTAAAGATATTGTACGATGGGAAAATATCATACAATAAACTCCTCTGAAAAATCTGAATATTCTATAAAAACTGTCCAGAATAAAGATATTATTATTACATGGAGGATTTAATCATGAGCTGACATCAGTTAGAGAATCACTGGTAAACCTGGGAGTACTGGACAGCTGTCAGCTCATGATTAAATCCTCCATGCAGTCAAACAAAATCCCTACAAAACCAATACTTGAATATTATTATTAAACAGTCTACTGTTAATGGCACTTGTGAATTTCAACTACTGTTGACCACAAAAATCTATAGAACTTATTTATACTTTATGTGTACTGTGATTACAGTTCATACAACATATCATTAACTTTTGCATTATTCACATTTTTTTATGTTGTTCATCCAGGTGAATACTTTCCAATGGTCTGATTAATTGAGTGATGATATGGCATAGCCTAAATACCCGCTTTTTGAGTGAGCACCATTTGGAGACGTAAAGTCGAAGAGTTTCTGATGCAGTAGCCTACACATAACAGCACAAGATCATAAAAATGCAATTTTATATGTTTAAATTTGACGACTGAAGCCTAGATTCTACTTTGAAGCATTATTTAATAAATAATAATAATATTTCCTTCACATTCCTAGTGGAACACAAAGCTTCAAGCTAGTGGCTTGAAGTTTCTGTAGGAGTGTTTATTTTTTGCAGGATGGGGTTACTAGCCTCATGCCCAACCTTTCCTCTTTACCAGTATTATTTCTGGCTTAGCGAGGTAAAGGAGTGCGTCGTCGGCCGGGAATCGAACCCCGGACCATATGCATGGTCGGCGAGCGTCCTAACCGCTGTGCCACCGACGCCTGAAGCATTATTTACTTTCACAGAATATCAAGAACGTTGAAGCCTAGTAAATAGACAACTCATAAAAGTTTTACCAATTCAAATATCCAAGTGTTATGTCGTTACGTGAATATGGCAATGCCGCAATAAGCTCCGTTATCACAGTGTGTTACAAAACCACTCAGTTAATTTTAGTCAAATTTTTGAATGATCAGATTCTTGATTTCAAATCCCAAACATAGGATAATGTTTAACGATTACATGAAACTCCACGAATTAAATAATAAAGAACGTAGAAATTTGCATCTGTTTGATTGTATTTAAGTTACTCTTGGAACTGAAACCAAACATAAGGATAAATGAAAGGAGTCGCCAAGAAGAATAAGAAGCCATAAAAACTACAAATATCCAATCTAACAGAGAAAAACGTGCGACGCTGGTTCAGTGGTGAAATACTTGCCAACCACACACTTGATCTGGGGTTCCATTCTGGGCCAGTACACTTTTAAATCCCCCTTAGCCAGTAATGCGCTCAGTAAATAAGGAAGGTTAGACGTGAGGCTAACAACCCCACCACACACACACACACAAAAGGAATAACACTACTGCTAGTGAGACTTCAAGGCTCGAATCTTGGAGACCTATGTCTCACTCGAAACGCAAAGGAATAAAATCAAATCTCAAGAAAACACAGAGAAAAACTCCAGAAAAATATTGTATCATTGTAAAATACCTAGAATATCGCAAACAAAAGAGGAAATTTCGGAAAGCCTGGGAGTACTGGACAGCTATTTCGTCCAGGTTTGTGACTCTTCAGCAGTACGCACCCACAGCCAGGGTTCGAACCCAGGATCTTCTGGCTATAAGGTGAGCTCGTTGACCAGATTTTCCAATGGTTCTCTAACTGATATCAGCTCATGGTGAAATCCTCCAACCAATAAAACAAAACTCCCTACAAAACGAATACTTGAAAATAAAGGAAATACTTCATCGTAACTGTAAGCCAAACGAGAGTTAATTAACCTTGTTTATAATAGCAGCCTGTGCATCGGTGGGACAACGGCAGAACGCTCGCTAACCACGCATTTGGTTCAAGGTTCGACTCCCGCCGACTCCTTTACATCGCTAAACCAGTGATAAGACTGGTAAAGAGGTGTGGTGAGAGCTGGCTACTAGCTGAAGTTGGTAGGCAGTGATTTACGTCAATGTTTATGTCCCCAATATTGGTCGTGAGAAAAATGACAACAAAGACTTTTCGTAGGCGAATACAGTTAACATATAGATGATGATCTGACATTAAAGAAACAGCCACAAACAGATGCAAGGTTAACTTTCTGTGAGAAACAACCAGTCGCGGAGGACTGTGTTTTTCTGCTAACAGTAATCTATAATATGTACATGAGAATCTATAAATATGTGTTGATTTCCTTAATAAACGATCTGTTGCCTGGCTGGCCCTTGTCTTCTGTTGTTATAGAGGGAAGCTTGAACTTGAGGTTATCAAACCCATCCCGTAAAAATAATAAAACACCAATGCTACCAAAACTTTAAAGTTCTAGCTTGAAGCCTTATGTTCCACTGGGAACGTAAAAGAATAAAAACGAAACTAAAGTGGTAGTCTACATTGGTAAACATCATAATTCACAGGTATAAAAGAGTGAAGTGAATAAAAATAATAGTAGTAGTTCCCAGATGTCTCTTGCTTAGTAAGCTTGCTGCAACTCAGGCTGAGAGCTGGACAAATAAGTGGTTGCATTCCTATTTTTCTGATAGAAAGCAGTACACCGTCTACAATGGAAAGTCCTCCACTACCTCACTTACTTTAGCTGGTGTTCCTCAAGGTGCTGTTCATTCTCCCTTTCTGTTTTCGTTTTTCTTACATGACTTGCCTCATTCTGATGTAGCCACTTTTAATTAGTCTGCCGATGACCTCTCTGTTTCTATGCCTGTCAACTCTCAGTCAGATTGTTCCAAATTAAATAACTTTCTGTCAGAAATTAGTCAGTGGTCCTCTTCAAACGCACTTAAGCTTAATCCGTCTAAATGTCAGGTAGTCGATTTCACTTTCAGGCGTAAACGTGACCTACAACAACTAGTTAGCTCACATGGCCCCACTATCATTGACGGCACAGAGGTTGAAAATACATCTAATGTCAAGTGCTTTGGGCTGAGTTTTTCCACCGATCTTTCCTGGTCCTCCCACATCTTGCTAGTTACTAGAAAGATGTTTCGCTTAACGTTTTACGTTAGGAAATTTAGGCAATCTGGTATAAACCAGTCTTTGCTTTCTCAGTTTGTCAATTCTTGTATTCTACCCATCCCCCTTTACTGCTCCCCATTAATCTTCGCTGAACTACTTAAGAAAGACTTTGCTTTGCTGAGAAGGGCACTAAAAGCCATTAGTAGGGCAAGTGGGATATCGTTAAACCAACTGGTTAACACTATTGTGGATAGACATATTATGAATGTCATGTAAGAAACTAGCGAATACAATATTGTCAGACCCCGAGCATCCTCTCTACACCCAGCTCTCTCCTTGCATTTCATCTGGTAGAACTAGAAGCAGCTGTAGGAGGCTATATGCTAGGACTACCAAATAAAAAAAGTCCACAATCTGGCACAGCTGTTATGTGATGAGAAATCCGTTAGGTATGACACCATCAACTTACTGCGGCACTCCAACATATAGTCCTATTAGTTTTTGTTTTCCTTTCCTCGTTACTATTACGCTGTTGTTCTCATCTTCCATTCACACATCAACTTTATATTTTATATCCTGTGGTGCATTGTTTGAAGTGTAAACGCTACGGTGTTTTTTTTATTTATTTCTTTTTTTTTTATTTTAATAATCCTATAAAATTTATGAGGTAATTAGATGCAATTTGTTGGAATGCACGGTGAAAATTCCATACATGTACCACAAATACTGTTTGGAACAAGGCTGTTATTATTATTATTAATAGTAAAGTAATAAGAAAGAACTTAAATACCATTTCACTTTTCCAAAGAAAATGTGGATTAAGTAATAAAGAAGTATATAAAGACAAAAAACTAATGTCAGCTCATGACGAAATCCTGAAACCAATCAAATCCCTACAAACCATCACTTGAATACCAATGAGATGCTCACTGGCGACTGGCCCTATTCAGGTAGGTAGTTACCTGGATTCCAGTGGGAAGTCGTGACCAGTAGGGTGCA